CCTTGTAAACACATCCCATTGTCCTTACCACATTCTGAAGTAGGGCCAGAAGTCCTCATTTGTATCTTTAGTTACACTTGCCTTAGCTGCCTCAATGTCCTGAATTGATTCACATCATTTACCTTTTTTTTTTTCGTGTGTGTGTGTGCTGGCATCAAACTCAGGACCTTGCGCTTGCCAGGTAGGTGGCAGAACCACTGAGCCCCACATCAGTTATCTTTTATGGTCATTTCAGCTTTGGGGAAGAGCTAGATTCAATGAAAAAGATGGATGAGGACATACAGCAATGGTTTTACAAACCTGCTTTTTTCCTTTTGATGACACTGAGCAGCAGCATTCTCTGTATGTCTGGTCACATCTTGTAAAAACAGTCCTGAAAGAGAGCTTCCAGGACTGCTTCACAGAGTGGCAAGAACAACAGGATAAGGGGGTAGAGTGGGGATCAGGAGCCATGTATCTTTTATTGTGATAAATTTAAAGAATCACCATATATTTGATTGTGTTCACTTCCTATTATCTTTTTTGGGGGGGTACTGGGGATAAAACTCAGGATCTTTCACTTGCAAGGCAGGTGACAGACAGAACCACCAAGCCAAACCCCTGGCTCCCCGTTATCCTTAAGCACCCCTTTCATGCTGTGTGGTGTTGGGGATGGAACCCAGGGCCTCAGGCATGCTAGGCAAGTGCTCCACAGAGCCACCCCTAGCTAGCCCCCAAATTGCTGTTTCAAGTGTGTTTTGGCATTCAGTAGTTAGATTTGGGAGACAGAAAGCCACCAGACTCCCATACATGAACTCTGACACAGGTGGCCTCGTCATCAGAGCAGAGTCACAAAGCCGCTTCTGAGTAAACAGATGGCTCCATGCAGTGTCTGATTTCCCTGAGCACAGTGATGAGACTGTACCTTTCTAGTGTACCTGCCTAACAATGTGAGGAAGATGTGCTACACACAACCGAACTACAAAGAAGGAGAAAGTAAACTTGATGTTTTTAAAGCTTTTATAAATGAGGTTTTAACAAATACCAAATTACATGTGTGTTAGTAAAAGTCTGTAACACCTATATACAACAACATTCATACCAAAGGCCTGAAGAACACCCCTGTACAAGCTTCTTGAGTCTTCACCAACAAGTGCTCCTTCTCTGCTGCAGCTTTATGTCACAGGCAACACTTCACAGGCTGTGTCACTTCTTTGTTAGACTCAGTTCCCATGGCACTAGTGCAGAAGACTAGGTATACAAAGGAGATCTGGCTGTGCTACTGCTGTGACCCCAGGATGGGGGCAGGGTATTAAACCCCAACAGTGGGGGTGGGGCAGCTGCCCTTCCTATCAAGAGGCAGAAGAGGAGAGGAAGGGGCAGTCTTATGCACTGAGGATGCAGATACCCAAGACTGAATGCAGAAGAGTTGCTTGCTGCCCTGCCCAATGTCCCAAATGACGGTAGGTCACATAAAAAAAAAGTAAGTACATCTCAAGTATTCAATAAAAAAAATTTGAAAGTATAAAAAATTAAGACACTGAAAGCAGAATCACAGGTGACTACATTCTACATAAAAACCACCCTCCAGGCACACAATGGAAATCGGTGCTCCTTTGAGAAGCTCCTGGCTCGAACCACTTCATCAAAAGTCTAACGGCAGTGTATCTGTGCCTGAGAACATCTCCTCTTGAAGAACAAAAACTTTTCAATGATGATTTTAATGTCCCTGCAAAGTGAGCAGTATCAGGTAGATAAAAAATTCAAAATCAAAATTAGAAAATGGTTTTTGATGGAGGCATTTTCTTTTCCTTACCATCTTGCTTTCAACCCTGGCTGCACCATTTGATCTTCAAAAGGCTGGCCTGGCTGCCAGCACACAATGGTTTGTTGTGAAGGAGGAAGAACCTGCAGTGCCAGGTGTGTTCTTCAGGGAAAAGAGGATCAGTGGTTTCATTTTCTTTAAAAAATAGCTCACAGGTTTGATTTCAGAATTGCCTTTGACACTGGACAATCTTATGCACTGCACAATCAAAATGAACTTAACAAGACAAACAGCAGTGGCTCCTTTGTTTTGTGAGCCATCCTCAATCAAAAGGTCTTTCATGGGAACCAGAAAGCTGGGACATCACACAGCAGATGCAAGCCTGAGGCACCCAACCCAGAACCACCAAGCACTTCATGGCACGTGAAATACCAACAAAAGGGTGGAGCAAAAGCTGTAGCCAGGGCCATGAAGGTGAAGGGGCCAAACCCCGACTCGGAATGGTGGCATTTGACCCTCAAGAGTCCATCAATGTGGTCTGCTTCAGGGCACAGGAGCTTTAGTGACCTCAGGAATAGGCAGCACAAAGCTGATCTAGCTCCCTGGCTTTCTTTTGGAAATATGCAAAAAGACGTCCACATGGCTGAGCTGGAATATTTAAAGGTTTCTTCAATAACAATGGTCTCAAGTACAGATGGCCTAAGTTTTCTTATGAAAATGCTAAAACTTGGATGCATAAAGGAACATTCCAGGAAGCCAACTTTAGAGGATTCCTTGGGCAAAAGAATTATGGATTTTTTTCAGTTAACCACTAGTAGCTTGGAACTTCCATTTTAGGTTGAACTCTTAAAAAAATAAGTTTTTAAACAATGTATGAGAATATATTTACAGTTTAAATAGAAATTTTCCTTTCAATAGTCAAAATACATCTTTAGCAAAAATTTAGAATGTAAAATGTTATAAAATAAGCAAGACCCATAGAAAAGCATTTTTTCAGTACCATTACAGACTTTGCCTAAGACAAAGGGGTTTCCTCAAATCCTATAGCCTCTTGGACAAGCAGAGTCCTCAGAGAAGAGCCCTCTTCCAGCAAGCTATGTAGCCTCCCATTTGGTTCTTTACCAAATACAGATCTGACAAGATGGACAACACCCATCACCAGAGCCTGAAGAAAAGCATGCAGGAGGGTCAGGCCCACAGACAAAATCTACATGCAAACCCTTTTCCAGTGCTCACAGTGATGCTGCTGCTACCACTGCAACACCTCATCCAAACATGCAACAGCTCTTACTCTGGCTGCTGAACAGCCAGTAGCAGATACAGGCCCATAGTGTGTGGCTTGGGACTTTGAGATCACCTGTTACCCACAGAGGGACTGGGCCAGCAGTGGACTGGGGAGCAAATTGGTGAGCTCATTCTTTTCCTGGTGGTTACCATGCCCATCTTGAGGAAGGTTCTTTTATTCATGTGGCTTGTTAGAGAAGAAAGGAGTCAAGTGGTCAACTTTGGCCAAAATAAAAAGCTTCTGCATGAGTGTCTGCTTCATCCAGGCACGTACAGCTCGTGGCTCCCTTGACAGGAGTTTCTAGGAGAGGTATCTGCATGTGCTCTTGGCCACACCACTCCCAGGTCTCAGATCACAAACGATGACTTGTGTCTAAAGTCACCCTACAAAGCCAGGCCACAGTCAGGACCCAAGTGGGGTGGTGGGAAAGGGAAAACTCATTTAGCCCATACCACAGTGGAAGGGAAGGGCCAAATAAAACAACTGGTCTTAACAGCTGGGAGGGCATGATGGTGCACACCTGTAATCCCAGAACACTAAGGCTGAGGCAAGAGCATCTCAAGTTCAAGCCCAGCCTGGGCAACTTAATGACTTAAACCCTATTTAAAAATAAAAAGGGCTGGGGATGTAGCTCAGTGTAGAGGGCCTAGGTTTCAATCCCAGTACTTCCCCAACCCCACACAGAATAAAACAGTAGTATGCACTAGAGTTTGCAAAGTGGGAATGCCATGAGTGTGCACCATTACTGTGAACAGCTAAGAGCTCAGGGTCTGCCATGTAACTTGTAATCTTCCTATGAGGGCCCCCTGGTTTTCTAAGCAGGAATATTTTCCTGGCTGGGCACATCTGGATGGCCTTGTTTCCTGAATGCTATCTGTCCTCTTCGCTCCTTACCTCCTCATCTGTCCTGATATAGTTAACGCCATCGGGCTTTCCTGGGCTCTTGTAACTGTAAATAGAGAAAGAGAGCACATCAGTGGCGTGGCCACCCTATGAATGCTGGCCTGGACTTTGTCTTTTTCATGTAAGTCAGGCCCACCTCTCTCCATTCTCTTTGCTGTTGATGAAGTAGCCGCGTCTGTATGCACAACAAATGCCCAGTGTTATCAGGACCAGGACTGCAAGGACAACCAGAACCCCTCCAATAATGCCAGCAATGTTCAGGTCATCTGCAGAAAAGAAGTTTTATGCAAAGAGATGCTATGCTACCTACTATTTGTTCTGAGAAAAGAAACCTGCCTTGCCCTGCCTCCCTTTGCCCACCCCACTTACCCCACTGCCCTCTCCAGCCTACCCTGGCCAGAAGAACACATAGAGAACACTTAATATTTTTCTAGCCAAGAACCCCTGATGCCACAAGTGAAAAGTACTGGGCCTTCCACAGTTCAAAGGCAGTTACACTGAACACTGAATTAAGAGAGGCCTGGCCTTCCATAAAACACCTAGAAGTCCTCCAGCTGAATGCCCAAGAATATTGTTGATGGAAGATATGTTTACATGATATGTAGAATTAGGAGCAAGGAGCCATGTGAAAAAAATCCTAATTATCAGAGCCTACTTTTGCCATGTAGTATTTTGGGGAAATAAGTTAGTTTTGAGCCTGAAAAATAAAAACTACTAAATGAGTACCCCACTGTCCACCTGGCCTCTCAGGAGAAACCCCTGCATTCCCCTTTCCCATTTCTATACACAGGGCCAAGGTTGCATTCAACATGGGGGCACTACTGGCTGTTTATGTAAATTAAATACATGAAAAAATACACAGGGAATTTATCAACTCAAACTTTCCTCCAGGAGAAAATGACCCTAGAGCAGACCTTGCCTACTTGCCAGGTGAGAAGAATGACAGAATGTATGTATAATGTGTGCCTAGGGCCATGAGATGTTTGTGGAGGAGTGGTCCAAAGGCTTTTCCCATCAAATAACTTTAGAAAACACTGCTCCAGGGTGGTTGCAAATGGGACAGTAAAGGATTCTAGAAGCAATTCAAGTGACTCAGACACCCTACACCTGCCCCTTCTCTCCTTCAGTGCCACCATCACAGGACAGGGAAAAATCACTGGGGTGAAAGCTATCTTACGATTTCCTTAAAAATAGCCAACTGAATAAATTCCTGGAAGTTTATCCAATCTTGTGCTTTGATGATCCTATCAACCACTGGAGAAAGAGTGTGATGACACACTGTGTAAGTTACATGAGCGGCCACTTGTCCAGTGCCAGGCCTGTTTGGCATCTACTAGTTGAGATTCAGTGCTTTCTCATCCTTCCTTCAACCTCCCAAATGGCTTCTGGTAGACCCTGTCACCTCCAGACAAAAGCTGATGCATGCCAGAAGAGTTGTTTAAAGTGATGGTCTAGAATTCATTCTCAAATGTCCAATTCCTTTCCCAGTTTTACAGTGAAACCTTTTCGAAAAGTTAACTCACAGACTTCCATTTCCTGCTCCTCACATCTGGCTGAACCTGCATCATTAGAAGCAATGCAGTAATACTGCCCAGAGTCCTCCTTGTGAACAGCACTGAAAACCTGTCCAGAAAGTGACATGTCAGTAAGTAGACAACAGTGTAGAGGGCACCACAGCTGCCACCTTTAGTCCTGCAGAAGCTAAAGTATGGTCAGTATCTGCTCTCTTGCTTCTGGCTTCTTTCTTAGACACTATGCAGCTTCTTCCTGCTAAGCTCTCCACTGCTGCCTAACAGGACCCCAACGGTGCACTCCTTTGAAGCAGCAGATACCAAAACTGGCAACATCCAGAATGATAGGCTGTGCTTTACGCACATTCAGCAGAAACTGTGACAGAGACTACTCCTCAGGCAAAACTTTGGCCAAACAAATACCAAGCATCCTATTTATTTAACATAACCTCCTACTACCACATGCAGCTGGCATGCCATAGGCCAGAGGCCTCCCTGATGACAAGGGCATGAGAACAAGCCTGTGGTGCTAACTGGTGAAGCAGCCTGACCAATCCTGTTTCCTTTTCCCATGTCACCCCCCTCTACCACTGGGTTCTTTTGAGGCAAATTCCAGACGCATTTTATCAATGAATATTTCAGTATGTATCTCTTGAAGAAAAGGACTTTTAAAAATCATACTCACTGTCAGGCCTAAAGCAATTAACCATTAATACCATCAGGCACACAGCCAGTAATCAAGTTCCCCAGTGTCTCATAATGGTTTGTGTAGCTGATAAGCCAAATCAAGACTCAAATAATGTCCACCCATACCATTTGTCTAGTAGCCTTCCTTGGTCTCTCTTTAATCTGTAGGTTTCCCTTCCTTTATTTTACCGCTTGGACTTGTTTATAATGAAGGGAGGGCCATTTTTCCTGTAGAACTTCTAACATTCTCGATATGTAACTCCTGTCTTATAATACAGTCTTACAGTCTCTCTTAATAACCATTCTTTCTACAAAAAACATCACTTGCTCCAACGAAGACATCTCCATATTTATCTCTTAGAAGAGATCTTACCAGAGTGCCTGTTTCAGAGTTTAAGAGAAAAGAGGAATTTCGGAATCTGGGGTTGGCTCTGGAGTCCGTCGGCAGTGGCACGTCATTACGGTACCAGCTGTAGTGAGGCCGAGGGTGGCCCTCGCTCTCCTGGCACTGCAGCGTTGCCATCTTGCCTGCAGGGACAGCCTTTGGTACTCTGCAGACAGGGGTTACTGGCTTCACTGCAGAAAAAAATACGGGCTGGTGTTTTAAATCTCAGCAACACAGCTCCACTATTATTATCAAACCCCATTTGAATAAACCAGCTACAAAAACAAGGAAGCCAGCCAAGTGATCCTGTACCACTGCTGCCTCCCAGCTGACCTGCTGCCACCACATGGTGTCCTTCATGTTCAAACCCCTGCCCCATTAGACCTTAGTCCCCAATTCCTTCCAACTTCCAGAGGGAGAGAGGAGACTAAGGATGCTAGAGCATCTTAGGAAAAGTGCAGAAACTTAACTTTCCAGCCACCTTCCACCAACTCAGGAAGTCTCAGCCTTACTAGCTCACTTCCCTAAGCTACAAGACACCCTTGGGAGTGAGCTCTGGATGGAAAAGAAATCAAAATAAGAACTGATCTCTTAGCACAGTGTGAGGCCTGATGGGCGGAAATGCTTTACCAGGAGTTCCTACCTTGTACAATTAGCTCAATGGCAATCTCATCAATTTCTTTGCGGTCATTTCGAGCAACCACCTCACATCGATAGAGGGCTGCATCTAAGCGTGTCACATTCCAGATCTTTAGGGAGGATTTCCCCAGTATCTCTGCACGGCCTGCTAGGTCCCCTGTAGAAAAGAAGACATAAGCACTAAAACACTGTGGAGACATCTTTGCCACTTGGAGAAGGTGGTTTCTGGGGCCAGATTCGATGCCTCAGTAAAAAGATGGATTTCTGTTTCTCCATGTAATGGAATGAACACCCCGAGGATAGCAGTCATGACTAACATGAGCACCAAAAGCAGAAGCTGGTGTGTAACAGGCACTCATTTTTATGTGTCTCTGTTAAGCCAGAAAGCTCATCTCCTCATCCACAAAGGGATACCCCATTAAAAGAAAAATTAAATAAATGTTAAAAAGAAAAGTGACTTTTCAAAAAGAATGCTGGGACGACTAGGTATCCATCCACATGCAAAGCAAAGAATCTGAGTTTCTCCCTCCACAGGCAATGAAAACCTAATGTCCAGATGAAAGAGTTAAAGATCAAATTATGGGCTTAAATTAAATCTTCATGAGACCCAAAACCCAAGTTACACTGGATGTCATCAAAATTAAAAATATCTTTCCTTCAAAAACCACAAAAAGTCCACAGAATGGGACACAATATCTGCAAATCATGTATCCGATGAAAGACTACTATGTAGAATATATAAAGAATTTATAACTAAATAACAAATAGAGAAATAACCAAATTAAAAATTGAGATTTGAATAAACATTTCTCCAAAGAAATATTCAAATGTTCAATATGCACATGAAAAAGATACTCAACATATCTGTCATCAGGGAAATGCAAATCAGAAACACCTTGAGATACTATACTACTTTCTACCCTCTAAGACAGCTACATCACAAAGTCAGATGATAAACATCGGTAAGGATGCAGGGGAATCCATTGACAGTGGGAATGTAAGATGCTGAAATAACTTGGAAAATGGTCAGTTCCTCTGAAAACTAAACATGCCACTGTCATGTGACCCCATGGATATACTCTTGGTCATTTATCTCACAGAAATGAAAACATGTTCATGAAAAAACCTGTACAAGAATGTTTACAGCATTATTGGTAACAGTCACAAAATGCAAACCCAAATATGCATGAACTGATTAAGTGATAAAACATGGTATACTTACAATGAAGTATCAGTTGTAAAAAAGGATGTAATAACACCTGCTACAACATGAATTAGTCTTGAAAATACTATGCTAAGAGAAAGATGCCAGACACAAAAGACTCTAAGATTCCTTTATAGGAAGTATCAAGGACAGCCAAATCCAGAGAGACAGAAGCAGATGAAGGACTTCTGGGGGTAGAGGATGGGCTGCTAATGGAAGTGATGAAATGTGGAATCTGACTGAGGTGTTGGTTACACAACTATGTGCACTAACACCACTGAATTATACATTTTAAAGGGGTCCTTTTAGTACAATCCTGAAAAGCATAAGAAAAGGCCAAGTAGATGCAAGTATTCCCAACCCTTGTGTCCTGTGCAGAAAAATCCTCCTTTTTCATTCCCCATCGATATGGCTGAAAGAAAATGTTTAATTTCCAGAAAGTTCTTTCAAGAATTTTTACTTGGTTGCTCTGCTGACCCAAACTGTACGCAGTTAGCAGGGGCTATCTATGTGACCAAAAAAATATTGATGTTTCTGAGAATAACATGTCCATCTCTTTAAAAATACGGGTTGGGAAAAAACTATTTGGAAGAGCCTGCGTCTTCTAATGATATTTAACTTTCAATTTCTGAGAACTCTGAAATTGCCTGCCCCAGCAACTCCTGGTTATTCCTCCCCTCCTGTCTAAAGGAAGACGATGTCCCTCTTCTCTGGTCCATCTCTTGCCTTTCCCTTGCCACCTCCTGCACAGTAAGGTCCTAGCAATCTCCCCTGAATGCCCACTGCCTCCAAGCTCAGCTCAGGCAACTAGCAGCTCCCTCTAGGTTCTGCAGATCTCTGTCATGATGGCCCTCCTCCAAGCTTTGCCCATCTCCACTCTCCTGAGGTAGAACATCCACCTCAATCTTCTAGTCTAAAGCACAGATGTGACCATATCACTTCTCCAGAAACCGTGCTAGCCCCTCAGGCACTGCGTACCGCCTGTGTTGCCAGCACTTGGGGTATCAGCTCAGTTTCCTCTCCTTCTCCATGTCTCTTGCCTCACCCAGGCCCTGGCAGAAGCAAGAACCCTGCGTTCCTCCCTTCAGCTGAGCTCTCTTTGGCTTGTCTTCACACACAGCTTTTCTGTCCTGACACTTTTCTCCACATCACACCATGCTTCCCAGTGAGCAAGCCATTATGCACCCAGACCACATCCTCCCTGTTTCCTGCTGTATCCCCTGGCAGCCAGGCATGACCCAGGATGAGGTCTGCTAACCCGTCCAGAGCACTTTCCCTCAGGTATACACCCAGCACCATACCTGGGACTTGATGGGCATTCCACAACACCCACTGGTCTCTGTGCCATGGTCTGTCCTTCTGACAACCTCACCTGTATCACACCCATCCCAGGTTATGACAAGACAGCTCTTTTATTCCTCAGAAATACACTGTGTACATTAAAAAGTGTACCTTGATTTAATGTCATTATTGTATGTGTTTTATATGTTTTTGGTCTGTTAGTCTTACTATTAATCTGTGTTGATGGTGATAAACACTTACAAAATAAATAAAGCTGATGTTGGCAAAATATTTTAGAAATGGGGGTGGAGGGGAAGGGTAAAAAAAGAATTGGGATGTGTTCTGTACATGTACCAATTCCCCACAGTAAATGTAATCATTATATAATGCAAACATGTACTAATAAAATTTTTTTTAAGAAAAAAAAAAGCATAGCAACAAAAAAACAAGGAAAAGGGAAACCGGAAAGAATACCTCATTGCAAAACCCCTTCCATATGTCAGATTCATCTAGGACCATGATGTGCCCTGAAGAGCTCATGACATTTTATGCCAGAAACATGGAATTATAAAATTCCATAAGGAATCCTTATTTCACCAAATACTTGTACTAAAAATACTTTATTTTTAAAATTTAATTTTAAAAATGGATTGTGCATAGAGTGAGGTTCTAACTAGTATTTGTTGAAGTTGGGTGATAGGCACAGAGAAACAATATCTATTCTACTTTTGCATATGTTTGAAATTTTCTATAATAGAAAATTTTTGTTTATTTTTTTTTTAGACAGGGTCTTATTATGTAGTTCAAGCTGGACTTGAACTCACTATGTATCGCAGGTTGGACTTGAACTCACAGAGATCCTCCGGACTCAGCCTCCCTAGTGCAGGGATCACAGGCATGTGTCATCATGCCCAGCTTCATAATAGCAAATTTTAAAAACAATTTTGGCTACAGATGCAGTCAGTAGTCTGGGAAGATTTCTGGACACTAGTGCATGTTGAGGCCCATGAATGAGAGGGAGGTCCGAAGGCACAGAGGGCCATGAGTCATACCTTGAATTTGGTTTTCAAAAAACACATATGAGGTCTGGTCATCTTGAATTTTCTTCCACTCGATCCTGGGGTCGCTGGTCTGTGAATCCGTGATGATACAAGACAATTCCACACCTAATGAGTAAATGGAAAGAGCATTCCATGGCTGTGGAACTCTTCCAGATGTGTGTGTAGGACCAGACCCCTTGAACCATCCCTAGTGTAAGAGAGGCTTTCAGGCAGTTAACCAACCAGGTATCTCCAGGCTCTGAGTCTCTGAGAAAATAGGAGGTTTTACTAGGAAAAAACTACTGACACTGTGACCCTGCTTTGTTGTTTAAGCACAAAACCAAGCAGTAAACAGGTGTCAGGCAATGTAAAATCCACACAGAGTGCCTCACTGTGGTAATGATGCACTCCTATGACAGGCACACTGCTGGGATAGCTGCCTAGGAGTGTCCTGAGGTGGCTGCAAGACTACCATATGTCCACCAGAGGGTGCCCACATCTCCTCTCAGCAAGTCATACTTACTTTCAAACTCCTGTACCACTGGGTTCCGGTTGCTGGATTTGAGATTCACTGTCCCTACCAAACAGCCTGAAGGGAAAAAGAAAAGACAAATCAGAGGTGATGCATTTATAAACAGCAAAAAACTCTCAGCCTTGGGTTAGAGTTTTCCTTTTTTTTTTAATGATATTAGGGATTGAACTTGGGATTTTGCACTTGTGAAGCAGGCAGCAGAACCACTGAGCTAAATCTCCAGCCCAAGTTTTCCTTTTACACAGGTGATAGTCGCCAACCACAGAAAATAGAGAAGTATTATATTCCAAAACAAACTGAAACATGTAGCAATTGACTGCTTTCCCTTTCAGCCTGATCTCCTGCCACTCCTCCCTGGGCCTCTCACCTTGCCTCCAGACTCCAAGTCTTGCCAAGGTGCACAGCACCTGGCCAAATTCATGGCCTGGATATGGCCTGCCCCCCAGTAGGCATCAACCTCTTCTGGGCAGTTATCAGCCAGTTAAGGTCTGGCCACTCCTTTGCCTTTATCTCTCCCAGAGCTTCTGCTTCATGAAGAAGTCTGCACTAATCTTTGGTAAAATAAGAAAGAGTAATATGTGACTTTCATGAAGCTGAGTTTGTACTACTGAGGAAATCAAGATATGCTATCTGCATGTTCTCAAACAAGAAAATCAAGTAGCTACATTGACCACCCATAAAATGCCGTATTTGGCTCTTCAGAAAGTTGTCATTCCCAAAGAAAGCCTTCATAAAAAGAGCACTGACCGAGATCTCCAGGTGTTGGCTTACTGAGCTGGCTAAAGGAAACATACATATGACCTGGTACTCTCAACCACCTTCTCCTCACACTTAGGAGGCTGCTGGCTACAGCCATCCACTGTTTTCTTTTCACTTATGAAATGATCCAGCTCATTGTATCCATGCCAAAATATACTGTAATCCATTTTTTAATATAAGTTATCACTCTCATTTTAGTAAAAGTCTTGAATTAAATAAAAGGAGGTGGAAAACACAAATATACCTCAGTTGCTAATAGTTTCTAAGACATTTTACTTTTAAGAAAAGCTATAGCAAGCACCAGGACACATAAAGATAATTTTACTTTGTTTTGAATATCCCTGCATGACTCCTTTTGGAGACTAGAAATACATCCCACACAAATGAGCACTTTCTACTCCTCCGGTCTGAAAGCTCTCAGTGTCCCAAGAATAGAGGATAAAATATGGTGCTCTGAGTATCTTACTTAGGCCAGCTAGGTCTCTTCTAAGAAGTCCTTTCAATATGATCATTACTATCATTCAGATGACACAACAAAATTAGCTTCAAGTGACTAAGATGAGGGACCAGTGTTGGACTGTCTTGGTTACTTTTCTCATTGCTGAGACAAAATACTCAACACCAAAAGTTAAAGGAGAAAAGGTTTATTCAGCTCACATTTTATAGATATTTCAGTTCACAGTGGGCTAGCTCTAAGGCAGAGAGGCATGAAAGACTGGCATCACAGAGAAACAATTCAAGGCAGGCAGAAGGCAGTAAAAGCAAGCACAAGACAAGCAACAAGCTAAGACTACAGCTCTTTCTGTCCCTTGTATCTTAGGGCAGGTAGCACTCAATCCTTAATCCTACCATCACACGGTTAATCAATCAATCCCAGCATCATGTCTCTGATCCCAGCAGCACAAACCCTAGCTCCAGTCACTTCTGAAAAGCCCCACTTATGACCAAATAAAGCTTTAGGGGTGCATCTAGATATAAGCCACAACATGGACCTAAAGACCAGCAAAGATCTATGAGGTGGCTCATGAGAGTACTGCCCATCTGGATGATGGCTACACAACAAAATCAGCTCCCTTCTCTAACAAGTATGAACCAAGAGAAATGAGAAAATGAGTGAGAGAGCTCACTATAAAAAGAGAGGGCGGGGCAAATCTTAACAGGACACAGAAGCATATTCATTAATAGGGTGGAAACACTAGAGGTGGCAACAACAGGTGAACTGGGACATAAAAGATTAGTACACTGAGAAAGTAGCTACAAGGGCTTCACAAGGTCAAGGTTCATAAAAGCCAAGAGATTTATCATTATGACAAATCTCTAAAGAAAACTAAACTCATTTATTGCTTAACAATCTGAAAGAAACTAAGGCAATAATCATCTCTTTTATTCCTATGCACTGGAATAAAGGAGGGTGTTAAATTAAAATTGGCAAAAATGTGGACAAAGAAGTAAATGCTCTGTACTTCTTCACCACTCATCAGTCCAATTATGTGAATACAAGATGACCAAAAATTGCATATTTTTCATTAATTTTTATAACAGGAAATATCAAAATGACAGATTTTCAAATTTATTCAACAATTTTTCTCGTATGGTACAGCATAAAATATTCAATACACAAATCAATGTAACAATCTGAACAATAGTATCTCATCTGTTTCCAAATTCTTTTTCAATTGTCTTTCTTTGAACAACACACTTTGCCTTTCCCTTTTTTTTTGTGGGTGATATAATTTCTATAAAATGTCCAACTACTAAATGTAATGGTGAAGATGTCAATGATGGACATCCTGGTTAGTATTTCCCTATCCCATATTTTTCAATTAGTCTATTAGACCTAAATTGCAAATGGCTTTTTGAATCCCGTTTTTGAGTAAATTTTAAAATAAATAACAAATGAGTTTGTTATTTGTTCCAGAAGGTGCATAAATATTTTATGACAATATTTTTTCCTCCCTTTCTGATTATAGGCTAGCTTGTTAGATGTGGTCAATTCTGTCATTACTACCCATAGAATTATAATCACTGACCAATACTGGAACTTTTAAAGTATTGTTCCTTCTTTCAAGTTCTATTATTTTTGTATTATAAGTAGTTGACAATAAGATGTCATTTCTGTTTTCCAATTCACAACAGACTTTTCCTCTCTAATATGCTAATAGTTTTCCCTTTTTCAGCTTTTTCTTTTGCCGATTGTTTGGCACTTCCCTCTTGTTCAGTCTCAGTGTCCCAAACGTGTCTATTTTTTGTATTGTAAAAGACTATCACTGAGTTCTGGAGTAGAAAAATTATATCTAACATACTTACAATAAGAGTTTTTATACATTATAGCACAAAATTACAGTTTATTTTTCACTAATAAACATGAATTAGTAATAGAAAATAACTAGAACTTATTAGATTTCACTAGAAACAAACATCAAAGGCAAATACAATATTCTAAATTTAAAAAGTATGCCAAACATAGTGGATATAAAACAAATGGACACAGGAGGGTATCTCATCCAAACAAGAATCAACTGGTGGTGGTTGAAATGAGGCTCAGCACAGTCAGTAGGCAAACACACACTGCCCAAGGGACATTCGGGGTAAACTGTTAAGGGGTTAAGGCAGCCCTGACATTACCTCTCTTCTACCTAAATTCCCTAAATAGGGATTACAGGCAGCACTTTATGCCAATTGAGGAATACTAGGTCCCAAGAAGATTCAGGGCAGAGGACAACTTCAAGACAAGTGAGGTTCTAGACTAAGGATATGTAGACTGTTAACAGCTGGGCCCCAAGTCCAATACGATCCCTCACTGAGAGTCTGTTCTTTGAATTCTCATTCTAAACCTTAACAATTCTTACATTTACAAATATTCTAACTCCTTACTTCATCCACTGTCAATAGCCTACAATTCCACTTTAAAATTCTGTCATAACTAGCTGAGCACATGCTTGAAATTCTAGCTACTCAGGAGACTGAAGCAGGAGAGTCCAAGACCAGCCTGGGCAACTCAGCTAGCTAGCCCCTATCTCAATATGACATTTAAAAAGGGGCTGAGGATGTAGCTCAGCACTTCCTGGGTTCCAGATCGAGTACTGCAAATATGTAAGTAAATAAAAATTTAAAAATTAGTAATAACTGCATAAAAGAATAGGATGAGGACCAGAATCCACAATGCAATATAATTAACTCTGGAAAGCTACCTCATATGTGCGGAGAAAATGCTGACATAATTAGAATCTTCTAGTTATGGGGCCTAAAGTGGTGGCTGCTGAAGATTAACAGTACACACAGAATCCCATTTCTACTTGATACTCATGCTGAGATGACATTATTTATGATTAAGCAAAGGGTTTTTTAGAAGGAAGAAAAAGAGGAAATCTGCTAATCTATTAAATGTCCCTATTTAATTTCATGTCTGTCTTATCCTGTCCTTTTGAATTCTAAATTCTTTGGGAGAATCCATTCATTCAGCAATTTTTATTTAGCACTTACTGTGTGATAGGTCCTGCCCAAGACATTACAAATGATATAAATAAAACTTAAAAATCTATGTTCTCATGGAGCTTACATTTCCGTGTAAAACAGGAAGCATATTTATTCATCTTTATTGTATCTCCAATACCTAGATAAAATAGTGAAAGTAGTATGGGACCAGCATAAAGATAGTCCTATAGCCCAGAAATAAACTCTCACATGATTTTCAAATAATCTTCAATGAGAATGCCAAAATCATTCCATGGGAAAAGGACAATGTTTAAACAAAGGGTGCCCAGGAAACTGGGTATCCACATGCAAGATGCTGAGGCTGTGCTATTATATATACCATGAACAGAAAGAAACTCAAAATGAAGCAAAGGTCTAAATGTAAGACCTAAAATCTTAATATTTCTAGAATAAAGCACAGAGAAATATCTTTATAATGGTTTGGAAATGTTTTTTTATATGATACCAAAAGCACAGGCAACAAAAGAAAAAATAGGTGTAAGCCAAGTGTGGTGGCGCACACCTGTAATCCCAGCACTTAGGAGGCTGATGCAGGAGGATCACAGTGAGTTCAAGACCCGTCTGGGCTACACAGTGAGTTCCAGATCAGTCTCAACTACATAGTGAGACCCTGTCTCAAAAAAAAAAAAAAAATAGGTGAACAGGATTTCCTCCAAATTTCAGAAAATATACATTAAAGGACACAATCCAGAAAGTGAGGAGAAACTCAGAAGGGAAGGAAATTTCACAAAGCACAAGTAAAATAAGGATTACCAACCAGAATGTATAAAAGCTTCTACAACTCACCAGCAAAATAGCATCCC